TTTGGCAGAAGTCAATAAACAGATTATGACTATGGATTTTAAAGTTAATTTGATTCATTTGAACAAGTTAATTCGGGGATTGGGGCGGGCTTTAGAATTTAATTATGAATTATTTTAGGACTTTTATTTTGTATATTTTTTCCCGATATATTATAAGATGCATGCATTTGGAAGTGATGTCATAAGAAAAATCCTTCAAATAAATATAAATTTTGTTGATTCCAAAAGTGTCGAGAAAACACAACTTAGGAATAGAGTGAATCAAGAATGAGGAGAAACAGTAGAGAATAGTAAAGAGTGTGTAACATTTTTACTATAAAGACGCCATATTTATAACTATAGGATCATGGTCTTGTAAAATTACAAATATGCCCCCTCATCATTAATTTTGACCTTTTGGTAAATTACAAAAATAAGACAAAACTGGTGGGAAGCTTGTCGACCGTTCGCTCCGCATTCCCTTTATCGGCACCCAATCCATAAAAAACCTATTTGACAACCGGTTCCGATAAAGTCAATCGTCTCTTTAAGGGACATGATCCTTTGATGTGATCAAAGATGGGCATCTTATTTCCAGGAATCGAAGATCTAGTTGGTGATTGTTTGAGGTATTTGTTGTTCCTCTGACATCCATTTGTCATTGATAGCTACGAACAATTGATAACTCAATCGACTATCCCTTCTTTCTGAGTTGTTTGATTGTCGTAAGATTCGTGCCGACATATTTTTTGTGTACATATTTAGTTCCTTAATTTTCTTGTTTCTAGAAAGATGTGCAACACATAAGTATAAGAGAACCTTTTTCACTTTACACAAAATATATAAAAATATAAATTAAAAGACATTATTACTCAATAACTGACTTTCATGGATTTCCATACTTATGATGTTATAAATAAGCCATAGAGCAGGAAGAGTTTGCATAATACTCTTTCCTTCTTGATCGTTGGTCCTTTTCTCTTCTTGCACTTGCTCTGTCACAATGTCCAGTGAGGGAGCTTCATCTGCTGATGAAGATGCCCTTTTTAAGGCTCTAGGTGGCATGCAGACAAAAGCCCAAAAATTAGATGTGAAGAAAAACTGGTAGGTGAAGCTCAGGTAAAAGAAGTGAACAAAAAGAGGGTTATGCAGAGGTTAGGGGCTGACAATCATGAGGATCAAATCAGATCCTCTAATTCTCTTGCTGGCTCATTGCAGGAGCGAATTCTGGAGAATACCAAAGGCCATCTTGACGATCGCCTTATTTGGCATCCGTCAAAAGTGGATGTTCATGTCGGAGGGAAGGAAAAGTTTGTCCAGACTGTTACGAGTGAGATAATTCCTCAAGGTGATATGGGGGAGGCGACGGTCGGGATGGAAGCATCGCTCGAGCTACCAAAGTGCGATATTTCTTTTATAGGTGGAGAGCTGGAGAAGAATAGTAAGGGGGCTAACTCTTACACCAAGTCTGATTGGAACCGGACCTTGGGTATGTGGCTTGAATTGTTTCTTGAATACTTACACTTCTTTCTTTTATGTAGCTATAGAAGTCCTAACAATCAATTATGTCGTTAGATACCAATGTTGATCTTTAGGATGACACGACCGTCATGGAACAAATTGTTGTGTAAGGTGTGGCTAACGCGCAACAGGATGCTGAAGATCAAAGGATAGACCAGGAGAACCTGTCTCATGGCGAAGACAAGAGTTTAAGTCGCCAAGGTTCTTCCAGCACTACAAGGGAAGAGGAGGTAACTAAGGGGTGTCGTTCTTCTTCTGAATCCCTGATGCGCCTCCTCGTGGAAATGGAGGAACATTTCACTCGTCCATGGGATACCCTTGGGGAGACAGTGATAGAGGAGTTGATGAGGTCTTGGAGAGTCGAACAGGTGGAGGAAGAGTTTGTCACTCTTTGTGAGGAATTCTTTACTTTCCAGGGGGAGATGCTTGCTGCTCGGGAGGTGATGACGCACCTCTGTTTAGAGTTGTTGGCTGTTAGAGAGGGTTCTGTTGTTTAGATGAGGGATGATCAAAATGGCCTCTTTAGAGAAGGTGGTCAATTTATGTATAAGAGATTGCTTCACCGAGGGTTTGTCTCACGCAAAGCGACAGTCGATCGTTTCGTTGGGTTTTTTCTTTCTTAGTTACTTTCAAGGGGTTTTATGTGATTTACCCTTTTTGTTAATAAATAAATAAAATGTATTATTCTATCTTTTGTCATGATAGTTTACCTTGAGTAATGTGTGACTACCATTGCATCAGTCTTGTCGGCAGCGCGTCGTCTTCCCATATATCGTACGTGTGTCTGTGTGTGTGTGTCTATATGACAGCTAGCAGGGGCCTTCATTTCCTCCTGCGACTTGCCACCTCTTCTTCTTCTTCTTCTCTTCTCCTCCTGCGTGATATTTCAAATTTCATGGCGCTTATGTTTTCCCAGGAATCGTTTGGTTCGATTCTGAATTTGGAGGTTCGGTCCTTTCCGCAGTAGATGTGAAGGATATTCAAAATCTTTAAGTTCTTGACTCTTTGATTCACATTCGGTCGGCAACCAGCCATGAGCGGGTCACAGATCACTTCTCCCCTGATTAGGTTTCTTACAAATGTCAATTCAAGATGGGCCTTTAGCTGTCACTTTATTGGGAACTATGGTCGGTTTTTAATCAATACGGGATTATTCTTGCCAAGGATTTTTCAAACTCGGTGGGTACCGCAATGACCACCGTCCTTTTTCTATCGAAGAATGAGTATCTCCTGGTCGATTGAACTATTCAACCACTTCTTTTTCTTCAAGATCAGCTGACTTGGTTACATTCAATTCGTTGTTGGCTCAAAGATCCACCTGGTAGGTCTCAAAAACAAGATTAAAGGTTGGAAAGCAAAATTCTTGCTTGGCTCCTGTGCAAGTGGTTGGGGAATTTGCACTGTTTCGGTGGAGTACAATGTAAAGAAGGTAAAAAGTTTATCGGTAACCTTCGAGACCATAAGACGCTAATTGAGGGTCAACGCCTTTCGCTATTTCAATACCTCGACCTGAAGCTGTTTGAGCAATTGATTCATTTGAACGACATAGAGAACATGACCAAAGGACTCTGGATCTCTTCTGACAAAAGGAAGATGGCTCAGGAGAAGGCCGTTGAGGAGTGAGCAGCTGTGAAGAAGTTGCAGGGAAAGGCGGCCCTCCCCTATCTGGCAAAGGGTAGGGGTCTGTCCGAATTTCTTGGGTCAGCCAACTAGTATAAGAAAATTGGCATGTATGTAAATGCCCCCAAGAATATACATAAAAATTTAACTAATATGAATGTAAATACATCAAAAAAATTGATTAGTCTGTATGTAAATGCCCTAAAAAAAAGATCTGTGTGAGAGAGAGTGATGTAGCTTTGTTTTTTCTTAAAAAAAAAAA